GTCGCAATCGGTAATGATGAAGAGAGAAGCTTAGAAATAGGTTCTAGAAAAATTTAAATCATAACCACGGAAGGCGGAGTGTATGGGGTGACTAAATGCTTATGTCGAATAGTGGGGGAGGGGGGACTGCTTTTCAAAAATGTTTCACCCCTTTGACAGTTTTCTATGAAGTTTCATAACAATAAATGTAAAGTGATTCATTAACTATTGGAAAATTTAGTAAACCTTCATTAGCTAGGGATTGCGCCATAGATCACCATGATGATTGAATAAAGAGGCAGTTAAGAGCAATCAGTAGGTATACATGTTACCAATAACCCAGCTTTATTGGCGAAGCGTTACTCATGAAAAAGACACTGCCTTGTCTTGCAAACTGAAATATCGACAAACAAATAAGTATTCATCACACCTACTGATGGGAGACTTTCTCGGTTTCCAATCACTCTCTTGTTATTTCCACAATGCTGTTGTTTCCAGTGAAGTCCACTGATCAGCTGTTCGTCCCCCGTCGTATGCCTTCGCCCTTCGTCACTCGGTTATGAATCACCACAGACGTGCCGCGCTATTGTTAAAGTAAGAAGGGCGGGTCTGCGAAGGTGTAAACCCATCGGCGATCAATCTCCGCCGACTGGGGCGTGGCTCAAAGCGGTAACAACCAATAGGGATCGACAGGATAAAAGAAGTGCCAAGGTGAGATCGAGCCATCTCATTCTCTCAACCATGGCCAGCCGAACAACCGCCGGAGGACTCGGATTTGCTGTCCGACAAAAGGTACCGTTGATTTTCGAATTTCTTGAATTGTTTACTTGTTTTTGAAGATGCTTATGGAGAAGTATTTCAGCAAGACTCAAAATTCAATGAGGAGGAGGGAGAAATGCTACTCAAATGGATTAAAGAGCTATCGAAGGAAAATATCAACACTTCTGGTGATCGCGACAATTTCTTGAATCTGCTCAAGGATGGCACACTTCTTTGCAAGTAAGCGGTCTTTTCCAGAAACAGGACTATTTTTAAAACCTAGTGTATGACTTTTTTAATACCCGGCTCAAGCTGATATTGATTGTTCTGATTTTGATGTCATAAGGAAACTGATAGCACATAGTGGTTAGTGTCCAAGCTCATAGAATTGAATTATTTTTTTCAACGGAAGCACCAGTAGATGTACTGGTGAGGCGATGTTTACTCATTAGAACCTGCTCTCCCAAAGGGAGCTCCTGAACCCGGCCTTTCGCTGAGGCCTCATTGAGGAACAGATACAGAAATTCAAGAGTAAGGAGGAATAATTTTGATAATGACGGTGGTACGTTCGGTTTCCGCCAGCCAAGGAGTCTAGCATAGGGTGAGGTCGAGGATCCTTTGACAGGGTATCGTATTTGACTTGGTAGGAGGAGGGCAGTTGTTTATTGGATTTTTGTGTGTGGGGGAGGGGGTCATAGAGAACGCCAATGAGTTCTGTAAGAGGGAGGTTAGTCGTGCTACCGCGGTCATTTTCTCCGTGTTTACCTTGATCTTGATTCTTTCACCGCAGGACCGCCCAAGGGTTAAGAGGATGTGATGGGTGAGCTAAGGTGAAGTCGTGAAATGAATAGTTCAAGAAGTGCATGCCTTGAGCTTTGTGGCCAATAGAGAAATTATCATTTATTGCTTCAGTGTATTATCCGTTCGACTGGACGGAGAATTGGCAGATGGGCTATTTCCTCTTATTTTGAGTTACACAGAGAATCGTGTGGTTTAGATTAGTTCGGTGAAACTGAGTCCGGGGAGGGGGCACTGCGTGGATAATTAGAAAACGACTTTATTCTAAGCGTAGTCCCGATAAGGCCCGATGGATGTCCTACACTCCACACATCCTGCCTGCATCCTTTCCACTTTCCTGCATAGGTCATCCACCCTGGAGCTCCTGCACCCTTAGCCCTTTGCGGAGGTGTCCTTTCTCCTGGTCCAGGACCGTTCCC